AGGCTTTTAAGACCCCAGACGCTACTCACCAAGGTAGAATGTAGAACATTGTCTTTATAAACTGTGTTATGCCAATTGAGCTAGATGTTCCCCGAGACCACGGTCCCCACAGCCAACGCGGCATTTTTGGACTAGCTTCAGAGAATTTTCTTCTAAACCAAAAGCAAACTAGAATTTCTTTTATTATGAAATATATGAACTCTGCTTGAAAAATAGTATTTTCAGAGAAAACTGATCTTCTGTTAGTCATATTAATTTATTAATTGTTTCCGTAAGATTTCCTTCAAAACAAACTTTTACCATCCAGTCGCATGTTTTTTATATAAAAATTCAATTATATCACAAAGATATCTAATCATATAATGAGAGAAAAGCACACACACACACACAAACATAAAATGAGGTAGAAAATTTCAAAGGCCATTTTTTCTCCTGATTAAAATTCATAATATAATTACAACAGCTATGTTTTTCATCAAGGAAGTATTTAAGCAGCTAATTTTTATATAAATATATTCCATGCTAGTTCAATAAATTAGAAAAAGGGGCATAATCTTGTTAAGATGCAATTCAGAGAGAACAGTGGGTGGATAGCTATTAACATGTGAAAGCAATGAATGAATGTACTGAATAACTAAACCCCGTAAATTATTCACAGCTAACCAACAGAATTTCAATGATTTTTTTTTTCATAAATTAGGTAAGACCTATTTGTGGAGTATTAACTAATTTTAAAACATTTTTTAAGATGCCAGATGAGCTCCTTTTGTACCTTTCAATGGCATTTGAGTTCCACAGCAGTTTGGGGATAAGGTCTGAGATCACCCGCTGATCAGAAACCAGTGACAAGGCCCTGTCATTATGCCAGGAACTGATGTGCTGATAAGTCTCCTGTGGCTCCTTCAGAAATACCACACAAAGAATTGAAAGCTCCTATCAAACATCCAAGGACAAACATAATGGTAGTTTCTTTTCTCCACATTTTTTTTTTTATTATTCTTATTTTCCCTCGAAACCTATTTAATTCAACTTTTATGAGTTATAAAATATTTTATTTCTTCTACCCAATTAAAAAAAAATGCTTCAAGCCACAAGTTGCCACTATTTTAGCTTTGGTTTTGATTTGCCATCAGCATTAAGGACAAAGGAGAATGTGTCTCTCATTTCTCAGTAGGAAGGTTTGACTTGAGCAATTTGGCTTAACAAAGGTACTTACATCATTTCCATCTTTCACATGTAACATCAAGGCCTTATTAAGTTTAGTCTAAATGGATAAAATTACAGCTGAGGAGAGGAAGCAGTACTCATTGTAAAAGGAAACATCTCTACAGATATTCTGGATTTCACCCTTTCTCTTGCTCAATTCTTCAGTGATTGCTTATCACTCGAAAGGAGTAAGTATTTGTCTTGCTCTTCTCTCAAAATCCCAGTATCGATTTTCATTTAATAGCCCTAATGAAGGAAACTACTGTACAATACAACTATTTTATTTTTTAAAGAAACAGTTTTGTGTAGAATTCTCTGAATGTTTGTTTATTTGGGATATGTGAATAGGAGGGGAAAGGAGGATTAAACAGAGGGAAAATTTCCTTATATTTGGAAGATAAACTAAGCATATTAATTGCTGAAAGTCATAGGATGTTTTTAGTAAGTGAACCTTATATCATAGGAAAAAAATACTTAGGTAAGCTGTGAAAGATGGGAAGATTTAATAAGAGATTGTTCAGCAAAGGAAGTAAGAAAATCTGAGCGATTTTGCCTCAGTCATAGACAGTTGTTAGGTGATCTTAGTAGCTTCTGATTTCTTTCAAATGAACCAGCTAGTAAAGTAACATTTTGTTTTGTTTCATCTTACTTTGTTTCCTTTACCATCTTAAAAGGGACTAGTGTAGTCAAAGGTGTGAAGGAGCTAAAACCTTACCACAACATAAGGAGTGACTGTGAATTCCACAGAGTCACTGGGTGATGTAAAGGGTTAACACATTCAGCTGCTAACCAAAAGATCAGAGGTTCGAGCCCACCCAGAGGAGACTCAGAAAAAAGGCTTGGTGACCTCCTTCCGAAAAAAATCTCCCATTAAACACCCTATGTAGCACAGTTCTACACTGACGTGTGGTTTTGCCGTGAATCAGTATTGACCGTAACCGTTTTTTTTTTAATGGATCACATAAGGATGCTCTGTATTTCAGTGATGGGGACCATTGACAGAACTGGCAACCTTAAAATTAACAGCAAAAGAAGCAAACAAGATTTGGGCTAGTCTAAGAATGGTTTATAGTGATATATCTTACCAGATGTTTGATTGAGTTGAATGGCAATTCTTAATAGTTAACGTTAAAAAGGAATCCACCCATGTCTAGTATGTCTTATCCCTCTAAATATTGCTAATGTAATTTCTCTCTGTTGATCATTTTGTATAAGAACAAATCTAATTTATACCTAACTGGAGTGGAAAAATATTTTTATGACAAATAGAAATGCCTGTATCCTATGGTCGTCTTGTTATTTCATACGTTTCTCTCTGAAACTATGTTCAAATTGGTTGTTTCTGCAGAGTTCAAGGCACCGCCCACAATTTGCTATTAAAGTAATTCGTTCATTCAAAAAAAAAAATGGGTGCTCGCTTCAACAGCACATATACTAAAATTGGAACAATACAGAGAAGATTAACATAGCTCCTGCACAAGAATGAAATACAAAAAAATGAATCAGTACCTACTATGTGCCAGGACTGGTCTAGGGATTGATGGTAACAATGCAAATAAAGGAAGGCACTATCCCTGATGTTAGGGAGCTAACATTTAGTAGGGAAGGTAGTGGTTGTTGTTAGGTGCCCTAGAGTCATTTCCCACCCATAGCAACCCTATGTACAAGAGTACGAAACACTGCCCAGTCCTGCACCATCCTCACAATCGTTGTTATGCTTCAGCCCATTGTTGCAGCCACTGTGTCAATCCATCTTGTCAGGGGTCTTCCTCTTTTTCACCAATCCTCTACTTTACCAAGCATGATGCCCTTCTCCAGGGACTTGTCCCTTCTGATAACATGTCCAAAGCATATGAGATGAAGTCTTACCATCCTTGCTTCTAAGGAGCATTCCGGCTGTACTTCTTCAAGACAGATTTGTTCGTTCCTCTGGCAGTCCATAGTATAATCAATGTTCTTCACCACAATTCTTCAGTCTTCCTTATTCATTGTCCAGCTTTCCCATGCATATGAGGCAATTGAAAATACCATGGCTTGGGTCAGGGCCACCTTAGTCCTCAAAGTGGCATCTTTGCATTTTAACACTTCAAAGAGATCTTTTGCATCAGATTTGCCCAATACACTCTGTCGTTTGATTTCTTGACTGCTGCTTCTGTGGGCATTGATTGTGGATCCAAGTAAAATGAAATGCTTGACAACTTCGTCTTTTCTCCATTTATCATGATGTTCCTTATTGGTCTAGTTGTGAAGATTTTTGTTTTCTTTATGTTGTGGTGTAATCCATACAGAAGGCTGTAATCTTTGATCTTCAGCAGTAAGTGCTTCAAGTCCTCTTTACTTTCAGCAAGCAAGGTTGTGTTATCTGCATATCATAGGTTGTTAATAAGTCTTCCTCCAATCCTGATGCCACATTCTTCTTCATATAGTCTAGCTTCATGGATTATTTGCTCAGCATACAGATTGAATAAGTATGGTGAAAGGATGCAATCTACATGCACACCTTTCCTGCTTTTAAACCACAAAGTATCCCCTTGTTCTGTTTCAACAACTGCCTCCTGGTGTATGTACAGGTTCATCAAGAGCATAATTAAGTGTTCTGGAATTCCTATTCTTCAAAATGTTGTCCATAATTTGTTATGATCCACACAGTTGAATGCCTTTGCACAGTCAAAAAAACACAGGTAAACATCTTTCTGGTATTCTCTACTTTCAGCCAAGATACATTTGGCATCAACAGTGATATTCCTCATTTCACATCCTCTTCTGAAGGACTCTTCAGAAATCCAGCTTAAATTTCTGGCAGTTCCCTGTTGCACTGCTGCAACCACTTCTGAATGATCTTAAGCAAAATTTTACATGCGTGTGATATTGCTCAATAATTTCCACATTCTGTTGGATCACCTGTCTTTGGATATCTTCTAAATTTCTTGGCATAGATGAGTGAGCACCTCCAGTGCTGCATCCGATTGTTGAAACATCTCAATTGTTATTCCATTAATTCCTGGAGCCTTATTTTTTTGCCAATGCCTTCAGTGTAGCTTGGACTTCTTCCTTCAGTACCATCAGTTCTTGATCATATGCTGCTTCCTGAAATAGTTGAACATTGACCAATTCTTTTTGATACACTGACTCTGTGTATCCCTTCCATTTTCTTTGATGCTTCCTGCATCGTTCAATATTTTCCCCATAGAATCCTTCAATATTGCAATTCGAGGCTTGAATTTTTTCTTCAGTTCTTTCTGCTTGAGAAATGTCGAACGCATTCTTCCCTTTTGGTTTCCTAACTCCAGGTCTTTGCACATTTCATTTTAATACTTCACTTGGTCTTCTCAAGCTGCCATTTGAAAACTTCTGTTCAGCTCTCAACTTCGTCACTTCTTCCGTTCACTTTAGCTACTTGACACTTAAGAGCAAGTTTCAGAGTCTCTTCTGACATGCATTTTAGTCTTTTCTTTCTTTCCTGTATTTTTAATGACCTCTTGCTTTCTTCTTGTGTGATGTCCTTGACGTCATTGCACACTCATCTGGTCTTTGGCCATTAGTGTTCAACAAGTCATATCTATTCCTTGAGATGGTCTCTAAATTCAGGTGGGATATACTCAAGATCTATTTTGGCCCTCATGGACATGCTCTAATTTTCTTTAGCTTCAACTTGAGATTGCACATGAGCAATTGATGGTCTCTTCTGCAGTAGACCCCTGGCCTTGTTGTGACTGATAATATTGAGCTTCTCCATCGTCTCTTCTCACAGATGTAGTCAGTTTGATTCCTGTGTATTCCATCTGGCAAGATCCACGTGTATAGTTGCCATTTATGTTGTTGAAAAGGGTACTTGTTATGAATAAGTTGTTGGTGTTGCAAAATTCTATTATGCGATCTCCAGAACCATTTCTATCACCAAGGCCATATTTTACAATGACTGATCCTTCTTCTTTCCCATTCCAATCACCAGTAATTATCAATACATCTTGATTGCATGTTTGATTAATTTCAGACTGCAGAAGTTGGTAAAAATCTTCAATTTCTTCATCTTTGTCCTTAGTGGTTGGTGTATATATTTGAATAATCGTCGTATTAATTGGTCTTCCTTGTAGGTGTATGGATATTATCCTATCACTAACAGGATTGTACTTCAGGGTAGATCTTGAAATGTTCTTTTTGACAATGAATGCCATGCTATTCTTCAATTTGCCATTCCCAGCATAGTAGACCATATGATTGTCTGATTCAAAATGGCCAATACCAGTCCATTTCATCTCACTAATGCTTAGGTTATCTATCTTTATGGGTTTCATTACATTTTTTTGACAATTTACAATTTTCCTAGATTCATACTTGGTACATTCCACATTCCAATTATTAATGGATGTTTGCAGCGGTTTCTTCTCATTTTGAATCATCCTGCATGAGCAAATGAAGGTCCCGAAAGTTTGACTCCATCCATCAGTAAGGCCGATTCTACTTTGAGGAGGCAGCTCTTCTCCAGTCTTGTGTTAAGTGCCTTTTAACCTGAGGGGCTCATCTTCCAGCACTGTATCAGACAATGTTCTACTGGCCAATTTTTTCAGAAGTAAACTGCCAGGTCCTTCTTCCTAGTCTGTCTTAGTCTGGAAGCTCTGATGAAACCTGTCCATCATGGGTAACTCTGCTGGTATTTGAAATACCAGTGGCATAGCTTCCAGCACCACAGCAACATGCAAGACACCATAGTACAACAAACTGACCAATAAGTGGTGGGGGGAAGTTGGGCATCAATTAAATGAACACATTATTAGCGCAATTCTCAAAGATAGTGTGACCCTTGTTCATGTCTGCCACCAGAATCACCACTGAAATCATTGATGAGTTCCCTGGAGCCACAGAACTATCAAATACCCTTGAAAGTGGAAACGTAAAAAACGGACTTCTTCTAAATTTGCATATTTCTGATGCTTGCTTATTTATACACATAGGTGATTGCTTCATGATAAAGACTGTGAGATAGGACTGAGATTCTTTAGTTCTGAAAACCTCATTCGGTTTAAGTTCCTTTCCATAAATCCTACATAACTGAATCCCCAATTTCTCACTTCAGGTATAAAATGTCCTGGCACGGTGTTTTGTGATGTAAGCATCAAAAGCTTGACCTAAAATTCATGTTGTTTCCTCCTCTTCCTATATCAGGCAATTCCTAAGCGGCTATCATGAAGCAGTCTTCTATTCCTTTTTCTCTTTGTGTTCCTGTGGAATAATGAGGGACGGAAGCAAGCAGGTAGTTGTACTACAAAAATAAGTGCTTGTATGCCCATCCAATCTCTTTGACTTAGTACACATACATAATTATTAAATACAGACTGAGCTAAATGCTAAGGTGAAATAGCCTATATATAAGAAGAAGTAACATAAGTTTTTGTTGTTATAGCTGCCCAGTCTATTGTTATTCATAGGGTTTTTATTGCCTGATTTTCAGAAGTAGATCACCAGGCCTTTCTTCCTAGTCCATACTTCCACTGAAACCTGTTCAGCATCATAGCAACACACAAGCCTCCACTAATAGATGGATGGTGGCTGTAATGAGGTACATTGGCCAGAATAGAACCTGAGTCTCCTGCATGGAAGGTGAGAATTTTACCACTGAACCACCAGTACCTTCTACAGTCATGGGGACAGGGAAATTCAGGGAAGGCTTAGCAGAGGAAATAGTATTTGATTGACCAATATCTAAAGAAAGAGCAAGAGTTAACCAGATGAAGGAGAAGGAAGATTCCAGTAAAGGGAGCAGAGTGTTTGAGGTAGAAAGAACTGAAACAAAGCCAAGATAGCTAAAACTTGGGGAACAAAGGGTCAAATGGAGCAAAAAGGGGCTGAAGAGCAAGACAGGGGCCAGACCGTGGGAAATTTGTGAACCACAACAAGAAAAAGCTTGGATTTTTATGTAGGTTTAATAGCAACATGTTAGAGGACTTTAAGCAGTGAATGTCACATTTGTGTTTTTTCCCTCATAAAATTTTAGAGCTTGGAAGAAAACTTATAGTTCCATGAATTCAAAAAACGTCATTTTATCTGAGATGAACAGTGTCAACAGGTGAAGTGACATGTCCAGATTAATATAGCTAGGGAGAATTGTAACAAAAATCTCCTCTTAGTTTGTATTGTGTTTTTTCCACTCCAGCAAGCTCCTGGTTAATTAAAATATGGACAGACAACAAATAAACAACAAATCACTTCCTTATCATCAGAAAACGACCAAAAATAATTAAATAAAATAATAATGAGAAAACAACAAGGATAAGAAATTGACTTACTTAAGTAGTACAAGCTGTAGACATGCATTCTAAATACATGCTTTTTTTCTTCCCCTGATTGCTGCATATTTAGTATTAATGTGTACTTTCTGCTCTGGGTTGCCTATCTTACGTCCATCCAGAAATGATTGCAAAATAGTCATATGTTCTGTGGTAGTTAAAAAACAATGAATCGAAGATACAACTATTGGTCTTTATTAGACTAGAACAAAAGAGAACAAAGGAAATCCAAG